TTTTTGCTTCGGCTAGTGGGGAGCGTGTTCATTTTTGGCAGAAGATGTGCGGTGGGGTCTACTCCTTTGACTCTGAGATGCCCTCGTCGTTAGAAACCTTAACGATAGAAAGTCACCCGAGCTTTCTCCTTTTCTCATTCTGTTTAGAAAGTTGTTCGAGATAAGGATAAGGAAGACAGAAACATGTGGAATCTCTAGTCCTATTGCAAGCGTAACTTTAGTGCTCCAATTCCGTTAAGTTATCCCTGGGGAGGTTATGAAGGGTGAATTTTCTAAGAAAATGAAGTTTTATACTTGACTTTTGGTGTGGCCATGAAACGGTGAGATCCTTAACCACTTTTCTCAGAGGGGTTACAGTTTCATGTGCTTGCAACCCAATATATTTATTCTGTAAAAAGGTTGTGAGGAGTAGAGTCGTCTGTTGATTTATTCCCAAGAAGGAGATGATTTTGTGGCAGGCAGAGGTATTTTCTTTCTTTATTTAGTTAGAGAGTAATGGAAATTTTTGGAGGACAGATTTTTGCTTGAGTTGAAGATTAGGACCACTGTTTAGTTCGTTTGTTCTTACTGCCTCATAGTTTAGCATTAGCTTACACATTGTTATAGAACCAAAATAGATGAAAGCCAACAGGTAAACACTACAAGGTTATAATTTCAGTCTCATATTAAACTCAACGAGCTGAACCTTCAAATAAGTTCAAAGAAAGTGAGAAGAAAAATCATAGGTGAACATAAAGTAAAAGGCAGCACCTGCCAAAGATCACGGAGCTCGACGACCTCCCCACCCTGTAATCCTTGAGGTAGTATTAGCTCTCTCCTGTTTCCCTTCTCCCATCTCAAGACGTTTCTATTGTCATCAACAACATAGTAATTGTACTCACATCCAAATCCGCTGGCCACTGCAATACTTCCACACCATATCAGCTCATCTCCTTGATGAACAGGGCTCAGTAACAATCCCTTCTTCACATTCCACGAACCAATCAGCGGCTCAGAACCACAAACTATCAAGCTCTGACCCCACTGAGTATAGTATGGCAATCTGAACCTCACATTCACCGATTTCGTCGATGAGGCTCCAGAAAACAATCCCAAGTTCACCATCTTCCCCACAATTGAATCAGACCCAGACAAAGTTCTTCTACGCAGGAAACAAATCAATGCATCTTCATTTGCAGAAAAAACACAAGATTACACACTAGCTAAATATAAATTGTATAATGTTCCACATTGAGATCCTAGCCCCAATTAAATTGCTGACAAGTATGAAAATTCTCATGGTGGGAGCAGAACGCTATAATTTGAATTCATTCTCCCAACCGACTACTTCTACTGAATTAAGATAACATTCGAGCAGCAGCAAGACTTACGATACACACAAGTTCACGATCACAATTCAAAGAAATGAAGTTGAAAATCAGCAAAAACGTTTACCCACCAAGCAGGAAGAAGTAAATCAGAGAGGCGGCCTCGTCCGCTTCGATTGCAACTCGCAACGAGTGGTATCTCGCTCCTTCTGGTGCAAATTATAGTGGTGGAGTGGAAATCAAATCACCACGTTCTTGAAGATAGAAAGTAAGAGCCAGATAGGGATGGGATTGCTTGATATTTTTTTCTGGTGAATGTCTTGTAGTGGGGAGAGATTCGAATGATTTCTCGCAGGGCCTTTCACTGGAAAGTGAATAGCGATGGACAGAATTGGAAATCTTTCTCTTCTTCTGATACCAGAATTCATTTGGACAGTTCTTCGAACAAAACTTTTCCCACGAAATTTTCCCGGAAAATCTTCGTAACCATGTGGACGTGAATCGAAATATCAATATCAAAAGCACATGGAAATTGGAATTGACAAAAATCGTTAAATATCTACCTTATTTTGACGATAATTTATACAAAATTTCTTCTAAAACTCAAAATGAGTCAAACTAATTTGAAGAACTTTGGGTTCGCATCTAAATTGAAAGAACCTTCATGGATCTTTTAAACAGCTTGTAGGCTCATCTAACAAATTCCTAGACATTTATAAATGTCTATTAAAATGTGTAATTTCATTCCCACATGTTATACTAATTTAAAGATTTTAAACATGTGAAAATAAAGATTAAGATTTGTTCAGTTCGTTGATTTTGATCCTTCTATTTTCAAAACGTCTACTTTTGTGTCTGTACTTATAAATTTTATCCATTTTAATCTTTATACTTATGAAATGTCTATCTTGATTTTAAAAAAATGATCAGATCGTGGTCCCTTCGTTTTTATCTTTATCATTTTGTTCAAGTTTCTGGAAATGTAGTCATATGTTTGATCAAGAAAATGATAAGTTTCTTAGTAAAGCTCAGATTTTGGATATCGACATACGAGGGACCTATAAAACAGAATTAATACTCTGACGCTTTAGTCAGCACTAATATGATCTATACTTGTTGAGAATATAGTGTGGCAAGTGATAATTTGCCTCCAACGCCCCAAATTTGTATTAAAGAATTTCTATTAGGTATAAAATTTGTGTTAAAAATAGAGACTAAATTGGTCACTTTGTAAAAGTATTTAAATCTTGGACCTTTTATTTTTATATATATAATTGTGGATGGAGATTAAATCATCGACGATGTGATGATAATAAGTCTTCTTATCTAGACAATTATATTTAGAGTGGTTAGTCCGTGGTTCACTTGTTAAGTATATAACTTCCAATGTGTATATTAATATGTTACTAAAACTATGTAGATTAGTTTTTTATTTTTTTAATTAATACAACAAGTAGAGTGACGAATTCGAACTCATGATCTTTTGATCAAAGACATGTGGTAATTAAAACTAAATTTATGTTGGCAACTACATAGATTAGTTTAATTTGGTATCGGATTTTTTAAATATAACTTGATTGTATTGGGTAACTATTTTGACTTATTTAGAAATCAAAAATTTTTATTTGTTAATTAAATATCTTTTTTACAATTTTTTAATTTCTCTAACTTTCACGGAAGTATCTATCAATCCAACGACATTTTATCGATATTTATATAAAATTAAGACGTTGACATTTGTATCGATACCGATATTTAAAATCTTAAATTTAATTTATGACAAGAATGGGTAAAATCGAGCGAGAAGTTAAGGCAATTGCAAGGTAAGGGTTCCAATACTTTTCAGGAAAGAAAACAAGTTGCAACAAATCTTTATATATAATTGACATATATATGACAATGTAGATGGGACTATAGGGCACATCTTGTCTTCAATAAATTTAGGTCTGTTTGATAATGTTAATTGTCGTTATTTGTCGTTTTTTATTAATAAGATACATTTTCAAAATTATATAGAAATGTTGGAGATAAAATCAAGTTTTTTATTTCTTATCTTTTATTCTCGTTTCCATTTTCTTTTTTCAAAACAAATAAAAGCATTAAAATGAAAAATAAATAGTAAAAATAAATAAATATAACATTAAATTTTTTAATACTTAATTTTAAAAATTATTTTCCATATAAAAATTTTAATTTTTTTTAATTTTAATTTTAGATAACCAGACCAGAAATAGTTATTAAACATGATTTTTTAATAAAAAACAGAAAATAGTTACCAAACATAGTATTTTTAATATTAAAAATACAATTAAATAAATAAGAAATAAGGACGTTACAAACCACCTTAACAAAATTTTGTATGCAACTATTTCGATGAATAATTCAAAAGAAGGATGGGTAAATATTAAGATCATTGCACTGATTTTTCAAAGAAAGAAAATTTTCCTTCTAAAAAAATAGGTCATATATCTACGATAGCACATAAGAAAAAAACTAGAAAAAGAAGGAAAAAAAACCAAACTATACATCCATTCATTGATTTTTATTCCACAGAAATACTGAAAAATCCTTTCAAACCGACTTTAATAACCTTCATTTTTTCCATGGGACAAAGTGTGAAATTTAATGGAAAGTTAGAGAAATCCAATTGAGATTTTATAAAAATCAGAACACCAAAAAANAAAAAAAGATGAAAATTTAGATGGTTACTTATGAAGTTTCGTTTTTATAATTTGTGTCTACTCACTAATGAAATTATAAATAAACACTCGTACTAAATATAAGTCCAACTCCTTAATTTCGAGTCCACACAATAATTTATGAGACCGACCGATTTTCTCGATTTTTTAACTCTAGAGTTAGAGTGTGAAAATTTTATTCAAAACTTATGAAGATCATTAATTGAGATCCACCTCTTACCACAAGTTTCATGAGAAAGTCAAAGGCTACAAAGATGGCTCCAAACTTTTGTGTGATGAATTTCACATGCAACGTGCTTTCCTCATATTAAATAGACACCCTAAAAGTTAGGGATTTGCATTTTTAAACCATATTCCAACTCCATACCCATAAGTTTGTTATATTACAAAACTTGCCCTTTCTTTCTTTTTCTTTTTCTATCCTTCTCTCTCTCCCCTCAAATTTATCTTTTCTCACACCCTCATCTTGTTGGGTAATTTATGGATAGAAAACAATACCATTATTTGTTTTTAGTTTAATATACATATATTTGTATATTTGTATTTATTTTACCTCTACATTTTTTGCAATTTTATTTGTATACTTTTATTTGGGAGGGTCTCCTTTTGTCAGTCAATTTTGACTTTAATTTAATTTTCATTTGTTTTCTAGATTTCAAATTGTTACATTTTTATCTCTCTTTTTTTATTTTAGTTTATATATAGTCTCTAGGTTTCAAAATATTATACTTTTATCTCTAAATTTTGAATTTAGTTTCCATCTAGTTCATAGATTTCAAAATATTATACTTTTATCTATGAGTTTTCGTTAGTGCTTGTTTTTGGCACTTTGTATAACAAAATCGTAAGTAGTTCTAACAAATGTTGACGGATATCAAAGCGAGCATAACTTAGCGGTAATTAACATATATCTCCAACCAAGAGGTTGTGAATTCGATTCTCCGCCCCACATGTTGTACTAAAAAAATATTAATATTAATAAAAATATTTATTTTTATAAAATTTGAATAGGATAGGTGACAGTGAAAAAACATTAATAATAATAAAAAATTATCCCTCTCTTACCCACCGTCCCCACCCCCACCCACGAAAAAAAAATCTTATATGTTATTGAAATATTTATCGGTTGCAAATATTGACCAATAAGATTTATGTTAAATATATATTTTTTAGTATAATAAGACGTGGAGTAAGGTATTGGCAGCTAAATATACATTTTAGTCCAGTGAATGAGTGCTTTTACAATTTAGTTCATATTATTTTCAATTTTTCAAATTTGTCTATTATATTATAATAATTTTCAATTATACTATTACCACTAATGAATGTTAAAATATGTTAAAATTAGCTATTGTGTATACATGACATGATACTTAGTCGGAATTAAGAAGTTAACAACAATTCCGATCTGTGGATTCTTTAGCAAAATTTGCGTAGCCCATGTGGCATCTTCTTCTAATTAATATTTACTTTCTTCTTTTTAGGAAAAAAAAAAAAAAAAAAAATTCTACCTCACACTTATTAAATTCCTTATCTAAATTTCTCCAAATTCACTAAATATCCAATCGGGTAAGTTTATAATGAACCAATTTTGACTATATTGAAGTTAACAACAAAAAATGTATGATTGGAATCGTTAAAAATGCAAGGGACTATATTGAAACTTTTTAAACGAAATGGACTAAATAAAAAAAATTCTAAATGTTAGAGTCTGAAACATATATTTAACCTAAAACCTAAATCCCTTCATTCATGCAAATACAATAATCTTAAACCAAAACTTACTACATTAACTGATTTGAATTTAGTTCAACGGTAATTGACATATATTTCAAAAAATAGATCACAAGTTCAAATCTCCACTCATTATCGCACTTAAATATCCCCAAGTCGAAATTGCAGCAAACACCAAGAAGTATCCATTCTTAACACAAAGAAACCGCCGGAGTGGGGGATTATCCTCCTCACTGACCCCAAAGAGGGTGGCTCTGTCGCTAAGCTGGCCGGCATAAAAGACACCAAATGCCTAAACAAGACAAAAACCTACTAGATGCTTAACACAAACTTTATGGTCTTCCCTCTAGCACACAGGGATCGGCCCTACGCTTCGAAAGAAAGGAAAAAGAAGCAAAAGAAAACCTACTACATTCATGTGGGGGCTTGGGCTGAGTTAGGTGTTTGTTTATATACATCAAGGTTCAAATTTTGAACAATATAAGAG